CCGCCACTTTTTTGTTGCCCAGATCTGAAGGCAGTGCAGAAGTGAAAGTGGCAATATCATGACCTCTCCCTAAAATAATCTTGTCTCTTCCCACCCTGTCTTGTGGGTCAGGATGTCCAGTTTGAGAAATACTGTTCTGACCCCTAAAATCTGTATATTAAAGGGTAAAACTACACAAAAGACTAGATTTCACAGGGGGAGACCAAAATTCATGGTCCATGATATGTTTTTCATGGCCATTAATTTGATAGGGCTGTACACATAATTTATGTTTAGATTACTACAGTGTACAAGGGGGCTGTCGATGTTAAAACGTCTGTGCCAGTCTAGACGCTCTTTTCTGCAGATGCTTTTAATGGAAAACTTTTCCGTTTATTTCCTCCTGCCTTAGTCCAAAATCCTGGTCCATGCCCATCTTTTGGTTTAGATGTAACTTTTCCCTTTAATTGTAACTAAATATTTCTCTATGCTCTTTCCACTGCTAACTGAATTAATTTATGTCTTTCAAAGTCTGCCACTATCTTTGTTGACCATACTGGGGAACTTGTCCAAGTCAACAAAGAGGCAGCCTTTATCAGTGTGAGGCTGTTCATGAAGTGGATGGCTTCATACATAAGCGTGGGAGAATTGCGTTAATGTAGTCTATTCATGCTTATGTGCCAGGTGCATCCACTTACACAACTCAAAAAGCTACTGCCACCCCATCCACTGCTGCCAGGGCCATTGTGTACACTTGAGTGATAGGGCAAATGCAGGACTGGAATCTTCTGTTGGAGGAAGTGGAGGGAGAGACACCAATTTCAATCCTCCCCCCACCTCTATGTGCTGTAGAGAGTCTTAAATCTGAGTTGCTCTGAAATGCTGGTGCTTTAAAGGGGGATTGGGGGCAAAAATGTGAGCATTTGGAGCAAGATTCTGTACTGCATCACTGCCCTCCAATACTGTAAGAGGGACAAAGGGAAACTGAAGTATAAATGGAGAGTGACATTTTCCTTGCATTGTCCACAATGAATACATTTGTACATGAACAAAATTGTTGGAACAAGACGACATGCATGCCTGATGTTGAAGAAAAGCCTGTTTGTGCCTAGTACATTAGAGACATTGTTCTAAAATAGTTCATCCTTTTGTAAATATTGCCTCTGTACTGGTGCCAAGGTTACTGTCAGTTTGGGTTATCAGCTGAGTATCAGTCATGCACGTGTGGCCTGGGAGAAACTTTAATACATGCACAAGATTTAAAAGAACAAATCCTGTTCCTTTGCATTTAAACTTCTCTGTCTCCCTTTTCCTGAGTTCTTCAATATACTCTACTCTCATATATCAATAAGAAGGGTGTGTTGTGCCACATGTAGCACTGTAGAAAATGAACCATCTTCCACTTTTCTGTGGGAGCAGTCACAGTTTTGCATTAGTCATCATCAAAGCTTTTAATATAAGCCCATGTCATTTATGGTATAAAGTAAGAACATATTTCCTATGTATTACTGAGAGGCAAAACTTGCCATATCCCACACTTTCTCCTTGAGACTTTTCTGTATATAAAGTAGATGATCTTTCCGAGATAAATCCTGGTCATGTGAATTTTGCCATTGACTTTTACTGAACACTGTATTTACTTAGAAAATGTGGTCCAACTAGTCTGCTGGTATAAATTGGCATATATCCCAATGAAGTCAGTGGAGCTGCACCAAATCAGTGAAGAATTTTGCCTTTGTATTTATTCCAAAAAATAATTTAAACTTCTAGAAACATTGATATGTTAGGAAATCATTCAGCCAGAATTCCATTGTTAAAACACATTCTCCTTTGCAATTCAATAAATTTCCACTGTACTTCAAGCAAACTAGGGTAAAAATTAGTGACAGCTTAATTATTATTAATATTGGCAGAGGGCCTCTTTGCTTCCTTCTGTCTGTCTCATCAGTGTGTTCTAAACAAATGTAGAGGTTGCAGACTTTGGAGTAAATATGCTTTTAGACTGTAATGTTTTTGACAAATGTATAATAGTCATAGTTCTTCTTTATGTTGTAATGAAACTGCTTCAAGACAGAATAACCTACAAGCCATTTTTAGTCCAAAATATCTTAGTTGTTTGATATAAATCAGTTACTAATACAGCCTTTTATTTTATTTAAAGTGAATGTTGTAATGTGGTATTACACCACCATGGGTTCAGATTTGGTGGCTACAGTTTTAAGTGTGACAGAGTATAAGTCACTTGTACTACTTGCTTCCAATTTAAAGTTTCTAGGGACACATAAAGATGAAAGTTAGTGACCACACACACATTCACTTTACCACACAATTATATATGGCATAACATTACAATAAATGAACAATAAACTAAAATTATTGGCTACACTAATATAAATCAGGTACTAATACTAGTACCTTCCACCTAAGGTGTTTAAAGCTAACATCTACAAACATCAGTCCTCACAGCTTGCCTATGATGTAATTATGGATAACACTTATTTTACAGATCACTATACTGAGACCATACAGAAATGTTACATTATTTGTTCAAGATCATATGGCAAGTCAGTAGCAAAGTCAGCAAAAGATACCAGGACTACAACCCCCCAATTCTGTGTACTAACAACTAGACAGTACTTATATATGATGTAAGAAAAATTAGGTGGTGATTCTGGGTTAGTAGGTCAATATAGTTTATTGCAATTTTGGAGATACGAGAGTTTATTAAAATCAGACTTTTATGATAAAAACAGAAGAACAAAGGGCCCAATTCTCCCTACAAACCAATTTTACAATGGCATATTTCACTCATCCCTGATTTTCCCGGGGCTGGAGAGAAGAAAGCTTTTATCCTATCCATCCCCGTGGCTTAGTTGATGGATCACTGCACTGTTTTCTGGGAAAACTCCTTTTGGGAGTTATTATGGGTCTTTCTCCTCAGGCTGGGAGCACTGCAGAAATGGCAATTGTAGCCTCAGGAAATGCAGAGTACAGTTTTCTCCAGCATCACCTAATGACAGGCTGAAGTTAAAGCCCTACAGTCTTTTAGGTAGTCAATGCCTTTTGAACTTGGTTAGTGCCTTAAGAAAGGGGGTAGGAGCTGGGGGAAGGATGAGAGAGAAGAGAAGGTACCAGCTTGTATTAAAGAACTGGTTGAAAACAAAGTGCATTGTGACTACTAAGACTAGCTTGTTCCCTAGTCTCTTATTTGACAATAGGACCTTGGAAAAGTTAGCCTGGATGGTAGACAGAACAGACTCTGTATTATTTAGAATCTTTTGCCACAGAAGATAGGCACAACTCCCTTCCTCCCCCCAAAACAAACCATACACACACCATTATCCTACTAACATGGTATACAAGTTGTTAAAATATTTGTCTGGTTTGTACTAGATGTAGAGAAACACAGGTGATCACCTGCCAAGAGACTTGCCACAGTGACTAGAAGTTTTTATAACAATATTTCATATCTGCCTGGCTCTCTCTCTTAAAAAATCCCTCTGAAACTTACAAGCAAATACTCATACCCTGCATGAACCAATATCTATTAACCTTTTCTGAATAAATGATCAAAGAGCAAACCTGATGAATAAGAAGGAAAAAATAGCATATGCAATACAGTGAAAATCACAGTCAGTTAAATACCAGATATAATGAGCCAAATTCTGTCCTTACAGCTGTAAAACTATTGATGTTAATGGGGTTGGAATCAGTGTAAACGACAACAGAAATTGGACTACTAACTGCAGAAACCTACTATTGAACTAGTGTGTATTAAGTGTTAGCACTATATACTCTATCTCCTGCTTTCTGTGATGACAAAAGGAGTAAGTGGAGTGGTTGCATGCTTGCACAACAACAGGATGTGTCTCTTGGGTCATGTCTACACTAGGAAATTATTTCAAAATAACCAAATTCGAATTAATAACTTCTGATTTTACAAAATCAAAATAGTGAGCCCCCACTATGGGGAAGCCTTGAAATTAGTTGGAGTCAGGCTCCGTTAATGTGAATACAAACGACCTCGACTTAGAGCCCCAAGAAGCACTGGATAATAATTAGTTCAAATTACTCTGGGAAGTAGTTATTTCAAAATAGCAGCAGCAGAGTGTCCACACTAACATTATTATGAAATAAGTATCTTGAAATTAGCATTATTCCCGGAGGAAAGCAGGAGTAAAGATTTCTAAATAAATGGCCTGTTATTTCAAAATAAGGGGCTTGGTAGTGTGGACTGTCCGCTTATAAATTCGACCTAAGGGAGGTTATTTCAAACTAACTCCCTAGTGTAGACAAAGGGTTGAAGTCTGTGTGCTGGGTGGTACATAATTTTATATCTGTGCCATTTGTTTTAAAAGCAGTTATCAATGCAGTGTGGTAGCTTTCCACATTCTAGGAAGCTCCTACCCGCAGCTGAATGTTAAAGATCCCAGAACCTCAACATTACAATACTTTGACTGGAGATGTTTCCATTAGAAATATGACTTGATATATTGAGTCCAATATCATTACCGTAGTTTTCTTGTTTTTATTTTTATTTTAGTTAAGTGTACTCTCCCAAATGTCATCAGAACCCTCAGTAACACAGGTTCAACTGCATGAAGATCAGACATTAGCACTGCATATAGCAAAATGGTTTTTAGGCAGTCTGAAGTTAGATATGTCATGCTACCCTATTTTCCCAATCATGTGGGGAATGGGCATATGCTTCTTGGTCACCTTCCTGACCAAGAGGAAAATCAATATAATTGTATTTATAATGTTGTCCTCCCATACCCATAAATAATATTCTGAACTTATACAACACCATTGATCCAAGGACCTCAAAGCACATTATGATGGAAAGTGAATACAATTATCCCAATACTACAGATGAGAAAATCAAAGCACTCAGGTTTATGAAATAAAGAGAGAGTTGAGAATTATACATGTCTATTTTTACTGTGCTTAAGAGATTCTGAAAATGGGAGGATACTTTTTTGAAAGTGTTTCCCTCTGCCCTTGTCTTAAATTGTTTACAGTACAAGTTAAGACTTCGTAGGGAAGAGAAAGAGAGGAACAAGAGCTATGGCAAGAGGATTACACAGTTGTTAAAGATATTGAAGCACATCTTGAAGATTACCAGATTCTTCATTTCCTACTGTATCTGCCAGACTGTGCAACAGAGTTGATCTGTGACATCCTTCCAATCAAAACTAAAGATTTCATAGTTTGTTGTGGTAGTTTCATCTTATTTAATGTTGGAATAGAAGCTTGGAGTGGGATATTTTTCTTCCCAATCTCATTAAATCTTTTTAAAATCTTTGATACGCTCACTCCTGGGCATGAAGGCCATATAATGAAACATATTTATTAGCTCATTTTTAAAAAAGAGTAACTAATATATTGCTTCATTCATACAAAGGATGATTTTAATGCTGATTTTGCAAATTTTATCTTTATATAGGGTTATTATGTGGCATATAGACTCGTAAAATACTTTTTTATGTTATTGATGACATTGACTCTTTACCTAGTTTGTCCTTCATGAATTCCCCTTCATTCTAGTTGCTAAACCAGTTCTATTTTTTGGCAAGAACTATTAAGAAACTTTTAAATTATGCTATCTCATAAAGAGAGGAAACTATTCTATGGATAGCACAGTCTCTGGGGATGCATGTTCCAAATAATGTAATACTTGCTTCATACTTGGTACTCATGAGTAAATGAATATTAGTACATTCTATGTAGTTCTGTGATGATGAGTTCAGTTTAGAATTCAACTAAACCAGTTACCTTTCCCAAAACTGCTTTCATTTGGGAATACTCTCTCCAGCTTAGTTACCTGGGGTGAATTTCTGGCCCTTGCTGAATTAGTCGGAGTTTTGTAATTGACTTCAGTTGGGTAGGATTCCACTGCTGGTGTTTCATAAATGCTAAGATCTGAAGTGATTATCTGGTTTGACCTCCTGTATGGCACAGGCCATTTAAATTTCCCCAAATAATTCCTAGAACAGATCTTTTAAAAAACAACCAACCTTGATTGTAGAATTGCCAGTGATGGAGAATCTACCATGACCTCCAACAAATTGTTCTAGTGATTAATTACTTACAGTGTTAAAAATTTACATCTTATTTCCAGTCTGAATTTCTCTAGGTTCAATTTCCAGCCATTGGATTGTGTCATACATTATGCTGCTAGATGGAAGAGCCCATTATTAAATATTAGGTCTCCATGTAGGTGCTTATACTGTAACCAAGTCACTCCTTAACTTTCTCTTTGTTAACATAAATAGATTAAGCACCTTGAGTTTTTATCACTAAATGGCATATTTTTACCCCTTTAGTCATTCTCATGTTTATGAACTCTCTCTGATTTCTTCTGAGTTCTTTCTTGAACTGTGGATACCAGAACATGAGTTAGACAGAATCAAGAAATCTAACACTCAAGAGAATTTTTATTTTATTTTAAGTGTAAGTGCATTGGATTTGTTTCTGTACCAACATAGTAGAGCACACTTAGAAGTTGCTATGATATGTGATGGAAATCAGAAAACTTCACAGTTTTTAAAGCAAATGCATGGATTTTCACAAAAAGCAAACTATGGTGCATTTGACTCCAACAAATCTCCCTCCAGAGTACTTGAAAACACCACTTAGAAATGCAGAATGATTGTAAGCCAGAAAGACATTGTAGAACTGCAGTGTGGAGGGACTCATTGGGGATTTAGACACATCTGACTAATCAAGGCAGGAGCTTAAAGGCTCCCAGTTATATTTGACCTTCGTTGTTAGCTTTTGTGTATTAGGTTTATATGGCTTTGGCTTTGCATCACATTTTTGGTTGAAGGAGAAGCAGTTTATGTTGATGTAAAATGATGAACAGAAATATTGGAATATGCTAAAGCTATTATCAGTTCCACTCTTTATCCTTCAGTCCTTCTAAAGACCATTCTTATGGAGTTAAATATAAAAATTCAGAAGAATTGAATACCTGTCAAAAACTTGAGAATTGTTAAAAGGGAGGGAAAAAATAAAATAACCAGCAGATTTCTATAACCAGCAGATTGCTTCATCACTCGTCCTTGGTGTTTGTATCTTTGATACTTTATGTGTGGTATACGCTCTTACTCTGCACTTTAGAAAGGGATTAAGTTAATGTGCACAAAAGCACTTTTGTGGAATAAGGTGTCCATATGAGGAGTCTGTGTGGAACAGCTATGCCAACATAACTCCCTAATGTAGATGCAGCTTACATGGAAGGAATTTTTAGGTTGGTGTAGGAGTACCATATCCTTGAACAATGTTAGCTACGACAAAGGAAGCACTCTTCCTGCACTGGGGTTTTTGTTAGCACAACTATGTTGATCAGGGATATGTTTTATTCATCCTTCCCCACCTGGACCACTGTACCAATGCCAATATAACTATTCAGGGTGGACTAAAGTCTAAGGCCTTTTCCATACTTACCCAGAAATCAGCGTTCTGGAGATCAATCTTCTGGGCTTCAATTTAGCAGGTCTAGTAAGGGCTCGCTAAATTGAGTGCTGCTGATGGTGCCCCCATCGACTCCAGTACTCCATGGGTTCATGAGGAGTAAGGGAACTTTCCCTCACTGACCTCTCTCAGTGGGTAACCGTGGTATGTTGAACTAAGGTACATAAACAAAAGCTCTACTATTCACGTAACTGGAGTTGCATATCTTAGCTTGACTTTCTCCCCCAGTGTTGACCTGGCCTAGTGAGAAGCTACAGTTCAAGGTCATAGCTAATTTGTATACCTGAAGTAAGAGTGGATGTAAATTTTCAGCCATGTCTCCCATCTTCAGCCATAATTTCTTCTGATTTTTGACACACCCAAAACTGAACTTTTGAACTTCCTTCCGGCATGCCCTAATTGCTCACCTTGAAAATTCTCCTGAATAAGAATAATTCAGTCTCCAGACTCCTGGATGTAAGTCACATTGGCATCAGTAGGTGTTAGGCACACATCTCCTGAGGAGAATTGAGCCTCTAGGCTCTGATTTTTAAATTGTGCACACAACTGTGTAAAAATATACAAATTGTGTGGTCATTTAAACAAAAGTGTAACACTTTTGGATTCAATAGGGTAAACAAGTATGTACATCAAAGAAGAATCTGGGGCCTATAATTACTGTGGTTGAATGAACAAATTGAGAATTTATAAATATCCAGTTATGAATCTAACCAGTCAAATACGTGTGCAGATACTCAGTTTGTGCATGCAGTCATAAGTAACTGCTTGTGTAATTAAGCATGCAATTGGACACCAATATTTTGCATATTAATTTTGAAAATCAGGCCATCTGTGTTGCAGTATTCTGCTATTCTGTTTTCATTTGGAAGACATGGTGGTTGCAGGTTATTGAAACATTCCTGCATCAATAATTATATATTTACAGAAAGGCCCATTTTTATTTTTTAAATGTTTAAAGTGCCAATTTCTGTCCTTCTTTTGCCTCCATAAACAATATGATTTTTCTTAATTGAAAACAATCCAAATACATTTGCAGTAGAAATATTGTGGCTTATCTAGTCAAATATTTTATTCTTCAGACTTTTTTTTTTCACCAAGATCTCTTTGGTCTTAACCTGTAGTTCAAAATTTTTTGTTTGTTTTAGACTGAGTTGATTTTGTCTCATTAGTTTCCCTCCCCCCATTATCTTCAGTTTTGATAAAGTCCCAAGTACTTCCTTACTTACATTACTAAAGGAAACCCTCATAAATATCTAAAAAGAGCTGAGAGCAAATTTGAATAGATCTTTACTCTGTTACTTTTTTTCACATAGAGCTCTGCCCCTAACATCAGTGAGAGCTCTGAACAGGGAAAACACTGCTTCTCTAAGAGGCAAAATTTGTTTTAAATATCCCCACTCCCCCACTACCTCTGTTCCTTTATAATGGAGTTTATTGTTGAATTTCATTATCTAGTGCATCCTCATTAGAACATTGGTTCAATCCTATCGTTCACAGGTGTTGGAATATTAAACAGAAACACAGTCTGGGGAAATGGAATTCTTGGCTTTAATATTGTATTGAATCATATTTAATTTGCACAGCACGAGAGCTCCTTTTCAAGGAGATTTGGCGGAGTAATGGAAATTTTTAATACTGCATTAAATATTTCTGTTTGTCAATTGCTGATTATCCATCTCAAATTAATGTATATAATAAAAAGACACCTGAAATTGGGATCTCACTTTCCTAAAACAGTAATTTTTCCAAATTAGGTTATAGGAAAAACTCCATTAACTAATATTTTCTATAGTGATTCAGCTTCTTCCAGACTTTGATATGTATGAATTAGTCTGATCTCTTTCTCTCAGACCCCTCACATCTCTGCTACAAATACATGTAGGCATACATACACATGCACACACGCCATTAAAATAACTTCAGGTCAACTTAGTACACCATTTACAGAAGTTTGGTATCCCTATTATAGTGAATGCAGACTGCCACCTATCGGTAAGATTAGCATTAGCAGATAGACTGCCCTTTTGAGTAGCATTCTATTATTACAAGTTGCATTCATCACAATGAATAATTATTCTACCAGAGCACAATCCTAATTTATTTGCTGTATATTTTGCCTATAGCAATTTGTTTTTTTTGGTGTAAGGTGAATAATAAAGACCTCATAAGAAAGTCACCTTTCTTTAGTTACTGTCACCTTTAGAATTAATAGAAAGCTTGGTGAATATTCTTGTTTTTCTTACGATGGATATTTACTATGTAGGATCATCCTAATTCCCCATGCAAGAGAAGGATTTGATGATATAAGGTGAGCTACGTTATATCATTATAATATATGTAAACGTGTTAAGCAATGATACATCATCTATAAATGTTTTAAATCCATGTATTAATGTATTAATATTCTATTTTTCTAGAATTTGTATTTCTTATGTATATAAATATCTCTTATGAAGTAAGTATATAGTTCATAGAATTTTGTATATAACTAATATATGCAATTGATAATATTTTTAAAATTAAAATAAAAGGTAAGTGAGAGAAACTAAAGAATAGAAAACTACCAGGCATAATTATAGAAGTCTTAATTATTTAATAATCAGCCTATTTAATATTTACGTAGAAAATTCAAATGGAAATACAGCATGAAATGCCAAGTTTATTGTATTAAAATATGTCCTCCCTAGTCAATATTCAGGTGCTTTAAAATGTTGATACATCTCTACATCTCTGATAACTAGAGAGGAAACACTGCTACATAATAGCACCACTAGGCTACATTAAAATGGATGTCACTCATCTGGTTTTAAAAATTAAAGTACAAAATAGTAGTTAAAAATCTAGAAGAAGAATGCATATACTTCGTTATTATTTCAAGGAAATATACTTTGATTGACTAACCAGAAATTAACTGCAAGCAGTTACATGTTTCTCTCTTTCATTGGATTAGCAGTTCTCATAGACTCATAGACTTTAAGGTCAGAAGGGACCATTATGATCATCTAGTCTGACCCCCCTGCACAATGCAGGCCACAGAATCTCATCCACCCCCTCCTAGAATAGTCCTCTCACCTATATCTCAGATATTGAAGCCTTCAAATAGTTTGAAGACCCCAAGATGCAGAGAATCCTCCAGCTGTGATCTGTACCCCATGCTACAGAGGAAGGCAAAAAACCTCCAGGGCCTCTGCCAATCTACCTTGGAGGAAAATTCCTTCCCAACCCCAAATATGGTGATCAGCTGAACCCTAAGCATGTGGGCAAGACTCACCCGCCAGCCACCCACCCAGGAAAAGATCTCTATAGTAACGCCTATCATCCCACTATTTGCCTATTTACCACTGATAGTGAAAGGTCAATTAGTTGCCAAGATCATGTTATCCCATCAAACCATCCCCTTCATAAACCCATCTAGCTTAATCTTAAAGCCAGATAGGTCTTTTGCCCCCACTATATAAAAATGGCTGCTGCTTTTTGCTCTATGAAATAAGGGATAAGGGAACTTTCGGAAAAGGCTTTATTTTCCGCAAGATCAGCGTCTAGACTGGCGCTTTTCTCCGGCAAAGCTCCATGCTAAAAGCCAAGCACTTTGTCTCCTTTCATAAGACAGATCTTCCATTCCTCAGATCATCCTAGTGGCTCTTCTTTGTACCTGTTCCAGTTTGAATTCATCCTTCTTAAACATGGGAGACCAGAACTGCACACAGTATTCCAAATGGGGTCTCACCAATGCCTTGTATAATGGCACTAACACCTTCTTATCCCTACTGGAAATACCTTGCCTAATACATCCCAAGACCGTATTAGCCTTTTTCACGGCTATGTCACAATGGTGGCTCATAGTCATCCTATAATCAACCAGGACTCCGAGGTCCTTCTCCTCCTCCGTTACTCCTCCATTAGTTCTATTGAAGGAATGGTGGTTGGAAAGTAACTTCCAAAGAGAATATTTAATGAACAACAGCAAATAAAAGAAGGCTTCCACGTATTATTTTTAATATATACCTTTTTAAAATAAACAGTCACAAGCCCACTCAAAAGGTAATGATTGTGCATTCATCCTTACTAATTATGCAATTAAGTCTCTCTGAAAAAGATGAAATGAATGTTATTTTACCGTTTGTCTTGAAATATGTTTCCAACGTCCAGTATTGTATCAATAATGTGTCTATAAACCCATAACATGCATATACACAGTTTATAGTTTCTTTGATATTGGATACATTATCCCAAATCACATTTCATGTTACCAAGGTTAAGTGCCTTGTTGTGTTCTACAGAACCCAGACATTCATGCTAAAATATTTGCGGGTTTGTCAGGAGGCGCTCCCGTGACCGCCTCCCCCCACCATGCCTCAGTGCCCCAATCGACTGTCTTCACTCAGTCCATCTCTGGACCACCTACAGTCTGTCTCGGGTGCTCATCACCAGCATAACCCTCCCCTGAATCAACCGTGACCTTCTAGTCCCCACTTTTAGTGCCGCCACGACACCCTTGTTATGGTGACAAGGGGTAACGTGGGGGGGAGAAAGGAGGGCTCGGACCCACCCTCGCTCACGGGTCCCAGCCCAGGGCCCTAAGAACTCAGATCCGGGAAGGATCCGGTCTGGTCAGTGAGGCGAGCTGCCGAAACGCACCGACCCACCAACCACACCGGGTTCTGCCCTGGGCTACTTCCCTTCCCCCGAAAGCCCCTCTACCACGGAGCTCACCTTCCCCTTTGTGGACAGGATTGCTGGTGGAGGCGCAACGGTTCCTGGCGGTGGCTAGCTGCTTTTTCCCAGCCTTAGACATTCCGCTTGGGCTCGGGCTTCTCTCCCGGGCTTGGTCCCCCTGGTCTGGGCTGGCGTGCCCTTCTGAATGACCGCCGCAGCGCTGGCCGTCCTATCACAGGCGGAGGCTGTGCCGACGGCTTGCCCTGGCCCCGCCCAACGCCGGCGTCCCTGCGTCACGCCCCCAACCCAGGACGGTGCGCACCCCGCCTCCTTCCTTGGGGGCGGGGCCATTACTCGCTCCCTCCGCTAGCCCCGGGGCACCCCAACATTGCCCTTCCTGATGTCAGCCCGGGGCGACGGCTGAGCAGCGTGGGAACAGGCGGCGCACGGGTGAGCCTCCCCGTCGCAGCAGCCGCCCAGTGCTTCCCCAGCCGCGGAGAAGGAATGGGGCGAGGACTCCCCGTCACAGGGTTAAGAGAGCAAAAATATAGCAAAATGTACTCTGGTTTATAGTAATTTAGTTCCTATCTTCATAACTCTTTACAATGAAGCAACATATTTGAAGAATCCTCTGGTACCTTAGAGAATAACAGATTTATTAGGGCATGAAGTGGGCTTTTCCCACAAAAGTTTATGCCCTAATAAAGCTGTTAGTCTCTAAGGTGCCACAGTACTACTTGTTGTTTTTGCAGAAACAGACTAACATGGCAACCCCTCTGAGGCTTTTCAACATGTTTGAGATACTACAGCACTAGCACTTTACACTCGTGTCCAACCACTCATATACAATTATCCAGAAAAATATAGTAAAAGCTGTTATGTGGCATGTTGGAAGAATGGGGGGATGCTGGTTAATCAAACATTTGGGTTAACTGAGAGTTACACTTTACCAATAGAATACCAATTCTCAAAGAATTAGAATACTATAAAATGAATAAAGTATAAAATAGTGCACTGTGGAGCAGTTGATTTCTTGAAGCATTTAGGGGCATACAGGTAAAAGTTTTCTATACAATAGGTTATCTTATGACACTACATATCACTATGGTACACCCAGAACTCTAAAGTACACTGAACACTAAAACTATACTAAACTAGGCATGTTAAAATGCGTACAATTAAGTAACTGTGTACCTGAAGCAGCAGCACTGATACAGAGGCAGCACAAAGATGGATGGCAGTCAGTTCTCCAGGAACTAGTGCACATAGGGAACCAGCTTTTAAGCCAGCTCCCTCTGTGTATTAGCTCCTGCCTGCCCCCACCCTTGTGCTGCCTTTATATCAGAGGCAGCAGCACAGGGAAGTGGGCAGCTCTCTAGGAGCCGGTGAATGCTGCGAGTTGGCTTTTAAGTCGGCTTTCCATGAGTACCAGGAGCCTGCATGTAACCATGAAAGTTAACCGAAGAGTCCAGGTTTATCGGTTAACCCTTTATACTGTTTATGCTTTAACAACCCTATACTGAACATAATTTAACCTTTCTTTGATGATTCAGAAGGCACTTCAGGATTTTGTACTACCTTAGGATCATCATTATCAAACC